AATCGCCCAGTCTGAACATTTTTAATGCTTCTTCCTCCATGCGAGGAAGTAATAAACATGCAGATCTCTGCAGCATAACGGTGGCAACAGGATGGAAAAGCTGCAGAACCGTCAGACTTTCAGAACCTGATGAACCACAATCAATAATATTTTATTTCAATAAATAAGACATATTTTTATACCTCAATTAAAAATATCAACAAAGAAATGTTAGGAATCAATGATTATGATTAGATTGTAGATTATTATACATTTTTAACAAATAAAACCTTTAATGTTCAGATTATTAATGGTAGAACTGGACGTCTGTTCAATCCTGAGATCAACAAAAACAATCTGATCTCTGATTAAACAATGATTTGTTTTTATCACCGCTTTACATTAATGAAGTGAAATGATCAACAGATTTGACCCAGTTTCTCTGGTTCTGTCCGCATTAAACTCTTTTCCCTAACAGTGTTCTCATTTAATCATTTTTGGTGCTAAACGATTCATATCCTATTTTCTGACATTTCCAGAATACTCTGTTTCCTCATTTCTTTATCTAACTCCAGTTTCTTAGTAGCCGTCGTTCTGGTTTGCATATTGAGAGTTTTGTTGTTCATTGTGTCTCCTGTTGCTGTGACCCTGCAGCAGGATCTCTACTACCTGCACGTGTTCTTCGTCCTGTGTGCCGCTGGAATCACCCTGTGCCTCATCACCTCCCTCTCTGTGGAGTTCCTGGGTCTTTCTGCAGCCACCAACCTGCACCACAACCTGCTTAACAAGATCATCCACGCTCCCATCAGGTAGACCAGAGGGTCCATTCCCACCTGGTCCGGTTTAGTCCGGTCCTGGAGAGCTGCGTTTGGTTTTAGAGTGGTGCCTAGAAGCATCTGAATGTCGTCCCAGAAAAACCATATTGTTGTGGTTGTCATGGTGACCAGGAGATGTGGATCATGACTGAAACAATTAAGCAGATTAGTTGATTATTGATCATCAATTAATGTCGTAATTGATTAATCATTAACTGGACTATACAGACTCTAAAACCTGCCTTTAGCTGACAGAGAAACCCACTTAGAGCAGCAATTATACCAAAATAAAAAGACATATAAATATTTGGAATTTAAATATTTCTATAAAAAAGAAATAAATCCTGTCTTAAAATCTGTTTTTTTTTTTTTCATTATCTTATCCAGGCCAGTTAGTTATACTTTGGCCTGAACACCTAAATTCGGCCAGTCATATATCAACGGTCATTTTTTTGGTCATAGCATCAAATTTGGAAATGCAACGGTTGGAATAGCCATTTCCCTACGACTTTAAGTCATTAGATGAGCTTTATTGATCTCACAGCGGAGAAATTCACTCGTCACATATTGGCATAGAAGTTACAGAAGGTGCAAACAGGGAGGAAAAAGGTGCATTAGGAATAAGCAATATATATACAGTGTATCCAGCTATATACAGTATATCAAGATAAATAGAATTAAAACAAAATAAAAATAAGAAATAAAAAAATAAGAAATAAAAATCTGTACAATCCGGATGGCTTATATGCAGGGGGAGAAATACTGCACATTCAGCATATTGCACAGTTTTTTTTTAGGGAAACAAGTTTTAAAATTTCTTCATCTGTAAATATGCTCCATCCAGAACTCCTAAAGTAGAAAAGTTTTAGTTCCACCTGGTTTCATTCTGTAAAAAAGGGTTAAGGTTAGTTAAAGTCGCAGTCAGGATGATCCTGCACTAGAAAAAATCTAAATCTAGATAATTTGTTGTTTTTTTCCTTAAAATAAGTGCATTTGTTCTTGGATTGTGGAGATAAAAGAGACATTTTGCCAATGGAACAAGACAATTTACACTTAAATTCAAACAGTAAACACAATTGCATTGTCTTATTTCAAGTGCAGATTATCTAATTATCTTATTTTAGGAAAAAATGACTTATCTAGATTTAGATTTTTTACAGTGCGGGTTGAAGGCCCAGTAGGAACAACAAGGTTCTACTTCCAGAGGAAGGATCCTCAGAGGTCACTTCCTGATCCAATGTCAGAACCGAATCCCTTCAGTTTGGAGGAGCAGCTCTCCTTTGCTTCTTGATGTTTTGCTCGTGATCCACAGCTGAAGAACACAGAGGAAACTGTAAATCAGGAGCTTCTCTGATCTTCTCTCAGAGCTCCAGGCCCAGCGGTTCCCTCAACCAGCCTGTCTGTCAATCTGTGGACCAAAACACCAAGATATTTAACTATCTGGTGAACATCTGGTGGAGACCTAGTGGTTAGAGCAAGTTCTGCACTGGAAAAAAATCGGAATATAGATAATTCATTTATTCTTAAAATAAGTGCATTTGTTCTTGGATTGAGCAGGTAAAAGAGAAATTTTGCCAATGGAACGAGACAATTTACACTTAAAATAAGAAGTGCATATTGTCTAATTATCTTATTTTAAGAGTAAAAATACTCATTCCATTGGCAAACTATCTCATCTACCTACGAAATGTTTCCAGTGTGTGGTTTGAATCCAGCAGACTTCCCCTCTGGGCCTCTGAGTCAGACCCTCAGTCCCATCCCCACTGCTCCCTGAGGATGGATTAGATGCAGAGGAACAATTAGAGTGGAATGTCCACAGAGCTGCAAGGAGAAATAAAGATGATTATTAATATTAACAGATGAGATGGACCTCATTAAATCTGTTCTCAGGCTTAGCAGCTGCATCGTTTGGTTTATCTATACATTTATTAGACTTTTTTATTTTTCAGAACCATGGAGTCCATCCCTCTGAATACATTAGCAGGTTTTGGTCTCATTTGACTGTATTTATTATTAAACCTGTCCATGAATCTGAACATAAGCTGCTCTGTTCCTCCCATACTGATCAAATTCCAACTCATTTTCCGCCGGTAATCTGCTTCCAAACTACTGCCTGATGAGATTAACATCAACAGGTCATTTAATTCTGATCATTTGGACACAGAGGAATGGTGACTAAAGGCTTCACTAATCACACGCTTCAACAAAACACCAAGAGATGAAGGGAAATGATTAAACATGAGGAGGATAAAACCAAAGGTTCTCCTCATGCCTACAGTAGGACTAGAGCAGCGGTTCTTAAACCTTTTTAGCCGCCCAACCCCCTTCTGTGTCCCAACAGGGTTGACGTACCTCAATCCCCCACACCTTCAAANCAATTGCATTGTCTTATTTCAAGTGCAGATTATCTAATTATCTTATTTTAGGAAAAAATGACTTATCTAGATTTAGATTTTTTACAGTGCGGGTTGAAGGCCCAGTAGGAACAACAAGGTTCTACTTCCAGAGGAAGGATCCTCAGAGGTCACTTCCTGATCCAATGTCAGAACCGAATCCCTTCAGTTTGGAGGAGCAGCTCTCCTTTGCTTCTTGATGTTTTGCTCGTGATCCACAGCTGAAGAACACAGAGGAAACTGTAAATCAGGAGCTTCTCTGATCTTCTCTCAGAGCTCCAGGCCCAGCGGTTCCCTCAACCAGCCTGTCTGTCAATCTGTGGACCAAAACACCAAGATATTTAACTATCTGGTGAACATCTGGTGGAGACCTAGTGGTTAGAGCAAGTTCTGCACTGGAAAAAAATCGGAATATAGATAATTCATTTATTCTTAAAATAAGTGCATTTGTTCTTGGATTGAGCAGGTAAAAGAGAAATTTTGCCAATGGAACGAGACAATTTACACTTAAAATAAGAAGTGCATATTGTCTAATTATCTTATTTTAAGAGTAAAAATACTCATTCCATTGGCAAACTATCTCATCTACCTACGAAATGTTTCCAGTGTGTGGTTTGAATCCAGCAGACTTCCCCTCTGGGCCTCTGAGTCAGACCCTCAGTCCCATCCCCACTGCTCCCTGAGGATGGATTAGATGCAGAGGAACAATTAGAGTGGAATGTCCACAGAGCTGCAAGGAGAAATAAAGATGATTATTAATATTAACAGATGAGATGGACCTCATTAAATCTGTTCTCAGGCTTAGCAGCTGCATCGTTTGGTTTATCTATACATTTATTAGACTTTTTTATTTTTCAGAACCATGGAGTCCATCCCTCTGAATACATTAGCAGGTTTTGGTCTCATTTGACTGTATTTATTATTAAACCTGTCCATGAATCTGAACATAAGCTGCTCTGTTCCTCCCATACTGATCAAATTCCAACTCATTTTCCGCCGGTAATCTGCTTCCAAACTACTGCCTGATGAGATTAACATCAACAGGTCATTTAATTCTGATCATTTGGACACAGAGGAATGGTGACTAAAGGCTTCACTAATCACACGCTTCAACAAAACACCAAGAGATGAAGGGAAATGATTAAACATGAGGAGGATAAAACCAAAGGTTCTCCTCATGCCTACAGTAGGACTAGAGCAGCGGTTCTTAAACCTTTTTAGCTGCCCAACCCCCTTCTGTGTCCCAACAGGGTTGACGTACCTCAATCCCCCACACCTTCAAACATAAATGCTTTTTAAACAAAAAAAAAAGCTTTTTTATAGCCGTATTATAGGCAGCATGTTTAATCTCAAGTAACTGGATAACACATCATAACAGCAACAGAACATGGCAGTTAAAATAACTCATAATGTTATGGAAAGCTTATTAGGACTTATTAGGAATTCATTAAATTGCAAGAAAGTTACAAAACATCCACAGCAGCATCCTGAGGACAGCGAGAGAGTCACTCAGGCTGTTCCACAGAAAACCTTAAAATCGTAGGGAAGCAGCTTTTCCAACCATTGTATTTCCGAATTCTCCCGAGTGGTGCAGGACTTTACACGAGTGAATAAAGTGAATGTGATTGGTCGAATATCAAGGGAGTGGGATTGTTGAGGCAGAAGGTTCGTAAGCAACTTTAGTTGTGGCCGATTTGTTGGAAGTATCTTGCTAACCAGTTAGCAACTTAGTGCTAGTAGGTTCCCAATGGGAAATTCCATTGGGACCAAGTAGCACTAAATTGGTGATTGTGGCCGGATTATGAAGGACCGCTGGCTCTGATGGCGAGTTTTTTGTTTTATTTGGCAAAATGTTAATTTGATTTGTGTTTATCTGACTGTGTTCATTATTATTCCCCCAAAATATTTCAGAATTTATTATTATCTAGAGACTATTTATAACAGGAGGTGAAATACAGCTCCAGACGAGCTGAGCGTGTGGTGATGTCATCAGTACGCTTCTGTTCCCGTTCTCCCCATAGTCCACAGTTCCCTGTGTTATTCTGGAGGACACGGGTCCATACTTGTGTTGTTGATAATTGAGAAAATATTATGGATGGTTGGATTGATGGATGGATGGATGGATGGATGGATGGGTGGATGGATGGGTGGATGGATGAATGAATGGATGGATGGATGGATGGATGGATGGATGGATGGATGGATGGATGGATGGATGGATGGGTGGATGGATGGATG